GAGGAGAAAGTTCTATACCATGTGGGCTTGTAGAAGAGTAATGGGTAGAAACTGGGGGCTTCAACCCAGGGCTGCCCTTTGGCTGTATAGGACGGTGTTGCTGCCAAGACTAACCTATGCAGCGGTAGTATGGTGGCCGAGAATGGAGAGGGGCCAGGAACCTGTTAAAAGGCCTACAGGGTAGTTATCTGAGGGCTGTGACAGGGACCATGAGAACCCCCCCGACGGAGGCACTGGAAGTAGCTCTCTGCTGCCCATCTCTCGGTCAGCTGATAAAATACCAAGCCAGGAGAACGGCTTATAGACTTAGATGTCAGGGGGAATGGAAAGATACTGGTCTAGGACACACTAGACTGGGACTTTCTCAGAAGTACCCCTTCATGTTAAAACAGGATAGAATTCCAAGAAAACATCAGTTGGGGAAGAAATTTAAAGTTTTAATACCAACTAGGGACGACTGGAACAATTCTAAATTACTAGCTGATCCAAAAGTGGATCTTTGGTTCACAGACGGATCGGGTGCAAATGGTCGGTATGGGGTAGGAATCTATAGGCCGAAAAGAAACCATAGAGAAAGCATACCTCTGGGCGGGCTGGCCACGGCCTTTCAAGCCGAGGTGATGGCCATCCTGAAGTGTGCGGAAACCCTTGCTGTAAACGATAGTGCAAACCAGCACTTTTACATATGCTCTAATAGCAAAGCGGCCATACATGCCCTTGCAAAGACCACTACAGAATCAGCTGTAGTCTGGGACTGCATGCAGGCATTAGCTAGACTGGGGGAATCTAACAAGATAACTGTAGTATGGATCCTAGGACATCAGGGATTTCTCGGGAACGAGATAGCTGACGAGTTGGCCAAGCTGGGGACCCAAATGGACCCAGCCACGCAGATCGTTGGAGTACCTTTTGTAACGGGAATCAACATCATCAGATGATGGCTTGAGCGGGAGTACGTTGGCTCCTGGAGAGCGGTGGGGGGCTGCCGGACAGCTAAACGGCTAATGGAGCAACCATCGCCGGGGAGAGCCGACGAGCTCCTGGCCATGAACAGACTAAGGCTGAAGGTGGGATTGGGTCTTCTCACGGGACACATCACACTGAGGAGCCATCTAA